CCTACATAGATCATTCGAAGATAAAAGAACAAGAAAAAAAAGAAAATCATGAGTTTTGTAATACATGATACCCATGTCTCCATATGTGGCTGTTTGTCATGCGACGATTAGTCAGCTTCAGTATTTTTCTCAAATACTAATTTATGGCACATAATTCACTAATATGTGAAATTTTCTATTTTTCATGCAACTGTGGTCAAAATTTTCGTTTTTTAATGAAAAAATGTATATTTGACCTTGGGATGACCTTGATTTTGACCCTGAGGTATTAAGCGGTCTTTATATTTGGGTTCAGATGCTCAAAAAATATGTTAGAATGATAACTTGACTCGATTTCACTAATTGTCGAGGATTTGACCTTCAAACGACCTTCAATGCGGCCTGATGGAGACAAACGAACACCGCGGATTTGGATTCGGCGACCCTGAAAACATAACGACATGGTAGTTTGCCCCATGAAATTCCATTATCTTATTGTCATACGAATCCTCCATCCAACAAGATTAAGTGACCTTCACATGACCTTGAGGGTTATATTAAAAAAAATTGAATATGTATCTGGACGTAAAATTTCCCGCTCTTTCAGAATCTGCAGTCAAAAATTCATTTTTCCTAGAGTAAACAGCTTTGACCTTGAACTAACCTTCAAACTTACCTCATGGAGAAAAACAAATACCGGATTTAAACTCAGCGACCCCAAAAACTTAACAGACAGATGTCTTGTATTAGTTATTGCTGATTTCTGCAATGTGACCTTCAAATGCCCTTGAACCCGACGTGCTGAGGTTAAACGAATGCCAGATTCGGACTCAGCGCGCAAAAATACGTAGGAGTACATGGGTTTTGTCGATGGACATCCAAGTTCATTTTTTTTGTGGGCCTGTGTAATTATTGCAAAGAGTTGTATGTTGTTCCAAAACATATGCGTAAAGCGCTATAGTTATTAAGTGTCATGATTTATGTAGCCATTTTGGTATCGATCGTACTGTTGCACGAATTTGTGAATTCTATTATTTTCCAAAAATGCGTATGTACGTCAGCATGTATCTTCTTGCATCGAATGTTTGTTATCTAAAAATAAAGTAGGCCGGCAAGCTGGAGAATTACATCCAATGACACCCGGTAAAAAACCATTCGAAATTATCAATATAGATCATTTAGGTCCGTTTGTTTCTTCTACCAAGCGCAATAAGTATATACTTGCTGTGATATGTAACCTTACTAAATTTACGCAATTGTATGCAGTAAGAAATGTCAAAGCGTCTGCAACCGTTAAAAAACTTGAAGATTTTGTAATTCGATTTGGTGCTCCAAATCGTTCACATCGGAGAAATTCAAAGAGATTTATAAGATGCATGGTATTTTACATACATTAAATTCGACACAACACCCAAAAGGTAATGGGCAAGTTGAACAACTGAATCAAACAATTTTACCAACGCTTCAAGCTAATTTACCAGAACCAGACGGTCGTAAATGGGATAAAGATATTAATTTATTAGAGAGAGATTTGAATACTTCCATTTGTAAAACTACTGGTTGGACTGTTGTACGGGTATATTCCGCGTATCAGAGAAGGTGAAATGCGTCGTTTTACATTAGAGTCTGAAAGTTATAGAATTCCAAAGGGTATTCAGGACGAAATTCAAAAAAAGATAGAAATTGAACAATTAAAAATGAAAGACTTGTATTATCGATCTCAATTGAAAAATCTAAAATTTAACTTAGCGAGATTGTTTGTAAAGAGCATTCCAAGTAGCACAGGTGATTCAACGAAACTTTTACCTCGTTATAAAGATCCTATGGTAATTACAAAAATTCTACATTCAGACACATATGCAATTCAAAGATTAGGCAGTAAAGTTTCTCGTAATAGTACTGCGCATGTAAGTTAATTGAAAATTTGGCGTGGCAGCGAATACGATTTAAGCGATTATGAAAGCGATAACGAGAATTCAAGCGATTTAGATGTCAATACTTTAGAAATAAATGATGATGTTAATGTAAATCCTCCGGAATTGCAAATTCCAAATTTCTCGAATGATACCGATCAAGTTCCACACAGAAGTATGCGAAAAACGAATAAACCAGGATATTTAAACGATTATATAACTTAATTTTTGTTTCTCGAGTAACTTGGGGATCAAGTTATAAATAGGATGGCCGATTGTTATAGTATTTATATACTACGTTCTATTTAATTCATTTGTTACATCCTTTTACTGTTTGTTGCGATACTACGAAAACCCGTTGTTTATCGTTGTAGCTTAGCGGACAGAAATATCGAGGAAACGAGATCGAGTGCGGACATAAGTTTGGCAAACGTGCCGTAAGAATTGTCAAAGAGCCGTTGTAATTTAAATAATAAAGTTCTTAAAGTTGTTTTTCTAATCAACGTTGTTGTATTCTCTTATTTATCGCAGTTATTTATAACATATTTATCATTCGATTCTTGGTATTCGATATTTTTTGGAGAATCGAACACCCCTAGCCGGTAGGCCGGTTAACTCTCAACTCGTGGGACGGCGATTGCTGCAGCGTGCTGCCGGCTGGTGGCGATTGAGTGTGGCTTGCCTGAGGCGCCAAATGTCTGTTAAGGTTGCGGGCGCGCACAGGGAAAGGAAAAAGACAATTGAATGTTGGCTAAGTTTATTCGTATTAGTGGAATTAGCAGCCTGAAGTAGTTAATTGCTTCCAGGAAACTCTTCATGTCATAGATAGTCAAAGATTTCGGGATGTTCAGATTGGCCTAAATCTTCTCGGCCGGCGGCCGGAACTCATCGGTGCTGATCCTAAAGCCAAGAAAGTTGACCTCCTGCTGACCTATCTGGCATTTATCCCAGTTGATTTTGAGACCGTTTTCAAGTAGAATCTCGAGGACAGTGCGCGGATAATCCAGGTGCTCTCTCATGCCGTTGGATGAGATGAGAAGACCAAGAAGCATTCCCAGAAAGTCGAACAAACCAAACGGAGTTGTGTTTTATGAACGTCCTCTGGAGCCACGGGGATCTGGAAATACGCCTTTTTCAGATCGATGGTCGAAAAGATTTTTTTACCATGAAGAAAAAGAAGCAAATCGCTGATCCTTGGGACCTGATAGCGATCTGGAACGGTCTCGGCGTTCAGATTTCTGTAGTCACCTGTTGGGCGGAGTTTTGCTGATGGCGACTTAACTATATGAATCGGAATGGCATAGGGACTGCTCGATGGTCATTGGCCTAGACTGTCGTGTTGCTACGACGGCTTCGGCAACACGGGTGGGCAGATCTCGGGTGGCTGTAATGAGCTGGAGCAGGAGAGATTTTATTTCGGCTAAGTCAGAAGCGCGATTTTGCACGGCCGTTACAGCAGTCACTGGCTCGACTGCGATCACGGATGGTGCGATCGAAATATCGACAATGGTGTTAGCAGCGTCAAGCAGCTCGTCAGTCGTGCTTGCCTTAAAAATTCTCAAAATGCTCTGAGCATGGCGCGGCAACATACCGAGCCACTTGACCTTAACTAGATCCTCAGTAACGTTGTCACCGACAAGGTCAACCATTTGTCTATAAAGCTGAGATGGCTTCTTGTCGCCAAGGTTGAGACGTGTCAATGTTTCGAGCTTCTTGTCGGCCATTGAGCCGAAACGCTCGATGAGCCGAGTCTTGAGCATATCGTATTTGTTTTGCTCCGGTTCGGCTTTTAAAATATCTGAAATTTTCCTAGGCGTGCACGTGTCAAGGGCACCAATTGTTAGATGATATTTTGAATCGTTGGTCCGTATACGGCTTACCTGGAATGCCGACTCTGTTTTGGCAAACCAAAGTTTGGGCTCTTCTGCCCAGAACGGTAAGAGCTTGTATGCTGTGACTGCCGCTATGCTATTAGCTTCAACTTGCACATCGGCCATACCTGACAGCTTGTTGTCGTCAGCGAAATTGAGTTGACCGCACGAGGTTGAAGATTTGGATGTTGAATATGCCTTGGTTTCTGCTGTTACATTGATGCTTCGGTGCTGCTGGAATACGAGCTGCCGGGCGTTGGAGTTTTGATTGTAGCGTCAAGGTCAACGCTGTTGTCCTACGCTGGCGTGTCGTCGTGTGGCACAAGAGAATTTCCGGAGCGGACGTTGTTTACCGGAGTTGAAGAATTGCACTCGCGACCACTTAACATGCCACGGTGCGAATGTCGTTAGAAAGCGTAGCGAATTTCCCTCAGCTTGTTTTTTTCAACTGGCACGAAAACTGACGATTTGTACGCACTAACCGATGCCTTTGTTTTGCGCAGGGTCACCACTGTTAAGATTGCGGGCGCGCACAGGGAAAAGAAAGAGACAATTGAATGTTAGCTAAGATTATTCGTATGAGTTACAAAGCTGTACACGGTATTTACAACACATGCACGATCCCCCAGAACTGTGGGGACGCGAGCATGGACTGACTAGTTGTCACACTTATGAGGGAGCAACTAGTAAATGCTGCGAAGAGCTAGTTTAAGAGAAGAGATTAGCGTTGCCTCGAGCGCCGGAGAAAGACTGGAGTCGCGATCACGTTAAATCGCTGCGAAGAGCAAGAGTCTGCTTGCGCGCTCGTCACGCCGTTGTCTGAGAAGTGGCGCCTCCTCGTGCTTGTTGCGGAAAGCTATACTTATTTTTCAAGTGCATGTATCATTGTATTGTAACGGAAAATAATATTTATTTCTTTTTAATCGATTATTACAATGATATTTTGATCGAACAGAAAAATTGTGCGTAATTTTTGCTAACTATTATATGTATTTAATTCTATCGAACGCTTCTTGATAAACTTACGTACTTCTATTAAAATGTTACGCAATTAATCTGGGAATGTTCAACTTTTATATATTTTAAATATTTGTATTAACAAAAACTAAATTGCGCGGAATTATTAATCAGTTATGCTATCCTTGTTAATTATGCGCAGTTTTTCTATAATTTTTCTGAGTCGATTTTCGTCCATTTCTCGCTGAGTTTTTTTATCTACTTACTTCGTAGTTTTGAAAGTTGCAATACTCATACGAGTTCTTTACTTTTTGTGTTAATAAAATAAAATGTCTTCAAAATATTAGATACATTCAAGAATATATCAACTAACAAATTCCAGTTATGAGACGTAAAAATATTTTGTAGATATTTATATTCATTCTTATTTTTATAATAATTACATATATCACCTACCACTGAGATGTATCCATTTGGTCGATTTCATGGTAAAACGAACTTGGATTTGATCCAATATCTTCAAAGTAAGTCAGAAATAAATGTCATAAAGATTTTAATATTTAAAGTATTATACATTTTACAATTTATAAAAAGTATTATAGATGTAATATTCTTAAAATTATTTTTACATGTTAGAATCTAAAATAATCAAATCAGAGAAAGTGTTTGATGTAATGTGTCAAGTAGATAGAGGAAAATATACTAATTATAAAGATGCTTACATAGATGCACCTCAAGTAATAGGATTTGGTGCAACTATAAGTGCACCACACATGGTAAATACTATAGTATTATATATACATTATAGCGAAATGCAATCAAATGCAGTAAAAATGGTTGATATAAAATTTAATTAATTTCTACAGCATGGGTATGCTTTAGAGTTTCTTGCAGAGAAATTGAAAGAAGGAGGTAGAGCTTTAGACATAGGTTCAGGCTCTGGTTATTTAACTACATGCATGGCATTGATGGTTGGATCAAGTGGTATAGCAGTAGGCATTGAACATATTGCACATCTTCAGGAAATAGCAAGGAAAAATATTGAAAATGATCATCCTCAACTTTTGAAAAATGGGCAGATTCAATTGATTGGTAAGCAAAGAAATAGACATTCATTTTATGTTCTAAGACATTTATTTAAATTTTTTAGATATACATAATGCTAATCTATATTATATCTTATTACATATGAGGGCTATTTATTATAGAAATACTGTTTTACATATTTATATTTTAGTAACATTTGCCTGTGATAGAAACTGTTGTAGACCAATAATTTGTACTTTATACAAAAATTTGCATTCATCTACCCATCTTTAGATTTTAACAAAAGCTAGAAGACTATATTATAATTAATATTCAGTCAAAATAATCGATTCCATGATAAGTGTTTATGAGGAGGCCTTTATGCTATATAATTTTATTATCATCAATACTTACTTAATGTCCATTTATGTTAAATTGTCAAAGTTCTCAACCTCAAACAATAAATAAAGAATAATGGCAAAGTTGTGATATTGTATATAAACTTTAATTTAATTTTTACTTTAATTTTGACCAAATATAATCAAATCTATAAATATATAGATAAGATTACCACTTCGTTGTCCTTACATTGAAAGAAATCATATCCTTTTTTCTAGTACACTTGAATTACTTTATATCAATACTATAGTTTAAGCATCCTTTAATTAAATTAAAACCTAAGGTATAATAGGAGTATTTATCAGAGTTCATAGTTTACTTTATAAAAATATATACAACTTAATCAAGTAAATGATCATAAAAATTTCCAATTTTTATAGAATAACTAATTTTAGTTGGAGATGGCAGACTGGGTTACCTTCCAAAGGCACCTTACGATGCTATTCATATTGGTGCTGCAACTCCTGAAATAACGGAAACAGTGAGTAATAAGAAGTTGTTTGTTGAAAATATATTTTATCAATTAGTTGTATCAATTATAACAAACATACAATAACACTTTAGCTTATCAACCAGTTAGCTCTTGGAGGACGAATGATTGTTCCCGTAGGAAAAGAAAATGCTGATCAAACATTGTATCAAATAGATAAGACTACAGATGGTGAAATTATACAAAAATCATTAATGGGCGTTGTTTATGTGCCTTTAACTGATAAAGAAAAACAATTCAAATCATGAAATTTGTGCACAGTCCAGTAATTTTAATAATTTTTCCAATTAATTACTAATAATAATATAATATTGTTTTTAAATACACACCAAGTTTTCTGGGAGTTAAATTTTGTATAGTTAAAGAAATTTCTTTTTCCATTTTGTACATAAAATTTCTTATATTTATAGAGCTTTAGTTTTAAGACTAATTTATTTATCATCATTAATAAATTTGACAAAACTGAATTTTCAGAACATTTATTTTAATCAGTTTAAATTTTATATATTTCTATGTTCTGTGTGAAATAAGACTATTAAATATATAAAAAAATTCAAAACTAGTTATTAATCTTAGTAATATATTACATTATATGTACTTTTCTAGTAAACATAATAAAAATATAATACTGCTAAATTAAAATTAATATTTTTAAACATTTATGATATCACTATACCATATCAAATTACTTAAGTAACAGAGTATAAGTCGTGAATTAGAAATCACAAAAATAAAAATTTACTAATTTTAATATTTATAGCTATAATTAAGAAGTATGATTTGCTTTGTACCAAATCTCACGTGGACTACAATTTTTAAAAGGTTTTGATTCATGTATTTAAAATTTTTTAAAATATTTTAAATATTCTTTAAATTTATAATTGACATTTACAATGAAAAAAATTCTGTACCTTTTTCATTATAAAATTTTGACCATTAAAAGACTTATGAGCGATCCTACAGAAACTCCAATTCCTAGGAAAGCACCTAACATAGCCGATGCTACTTCTTTTTCACGTTGTTCAACAATTCTATACGTGATATCAACAAATAAATAATATACTTCACTCCAACTTACAAAGTAGAATAGAGTACTTACGTAGGAGCAATCATAAATACTATATTGCACAAATAACCATTGCTAATAGCAAATAAAATTGTTAAAGTTATGTAATATATGTCATCATGAATATATACAGGCAGACGACGTCGAGGTTGTGCATTGCACACTAAAAATAGAGGTATAAAAACTATTCTTGATAAACTTAACAATATTATTAGCCATGGATTATCTTTTGGCTAAAATTGAATACTTATATTATAATATTTGTTATTACATATTTATAATCAATATGTACCCATACATACCCACTTAAAAAATCCCGATAAAATTCTTCCTAAGTAATCTCCACAGCTGAATAGTAAATAAGTAACAACTGGTACAAAGTAAATATCTGAAAAAGTATTATGGTACTAATTAATATTTGAAAAAATGTTAATTTATTATGGTAAAAATAGTAAAAATAGATATTTTTATTAAAAAATTACCATTCCAATGATGTCCTTGACCTTTACTGTGACTTTCTATTAAGACTGTTACAGAAGGATAAACAATCATTGTTATAAAAAATATTAAAAAAATGCTCAGTCCATATTGCCAAGTTCTCTTAAAAATCCTTAAATAAGAAATGTTTTCTCCGAAGAAATTAATTTCATTGTCATGTGAAAAATTTACTTCCCTTTCGTTCTCGGTTTTTATAAAAACATGATGTTTGAAGAAAACCTGACACATTAACAAAGCTTTAATGAAATAAGAAAATTTTTATTCAATATTCTCATAATGTTTTTACTTACTTCTCTTTCTAATATTACATACGCAATAAGTGATAACAGCAATATACAATCACCTATTATAAAATATAATAATCCTGAAATAATAGGACTTGCTCCAATCCACAAAGATAATATTTCTGTCAAAGCTGCAAATATTCCACCCAAAGCTTGTCCTGCAGACATTGCAGTTATATATTTTGGAGAAAACCTTCCTACTATACCAAGTAAGCTACCTCCAAAAATTGCACTGGCAGCTAAAATTAAAATAATGTAAGTCATGTAGATATAGTTTTGCTGATCTGAGCGAAACAAAGGTGGCACATGAGATGAGAATGTCTTTCTCTGACATGTTATATGTAGATAAAAAAACGTGTAGAAAGCGCGAATTTTCGCGTATGCTTGTGGCTGACCGTGCGGAAAGTTGTACTTTCCGTACAGCGTGTTGACAAAAATAAAACTATGTACATACCATTCACAAGTGCTACACATATCAGTGTAATTGTTAAAAAAGTGTACTGATCTAAAAAAATGTTAAAATATCAATAAAATACATGTATGAAACATTAGTTAAAGTTAACATTTTACTTACAGTTATCTGTATTCACTCTAGCAAATGATGTAGTTAAGATGAACACAACTAATACAAGACACTGAGATCCAATCATCCTAGTACTTAATGATATTCTGTGAAATAAAAAAATTTTTAAATAGATTTGTTTTAGAAACTAACATTAATTAACATTTGGTACTACCTTTTGCTGATAAAAGTATTAATAATTAAAAAACCTGTATTTGGAATTGCACTTGATATGCTTACATAGGATGTAAAACTAGCTTGAAGATCTGTCCTATTTTCTGCATTTTCAAAATGACTGAAACTAAGACTATGAGATTCATTTGACTTAATTGGTCTAAACTTATACATCCAATACTAAAAAGAAATTTATACAAATCATTTAATCAAGTTCAAAAAGTTTTATTTTATTTAACTACTCACGTCATCTGCTGTAATAAAAAAACTCCAAGGTATTAAGGCATTTATACCCAGCAAGTAAAAAACAATATAAGCTAAGTTGTATCTAGAAAGTATTATATTGATTTTTTCACTGCTTGCAATTGAAAGTTACTAAAATATACATCTGTAATTTTACCTATCATAAGGAAGTTGATGTTTTAGAAATGGTTCATCATGAGAATGAACAATTGCCAGATCATCTGTATCTGTATCAGCTTCATTTTCAAGATCATCATCGCTATCTTCTTTTAGCAAAGGTTCAGTGTTTATAGAGTATGCCATAATTCTACAGAAATAATTCACATAAAATAACATTAGATGCAATTAAATTATTATCATATTAATGGAATCAAATTATTATTTTTCAGAAACAATTACTACAGTTATTAGATTTATAAGCACTTCTAATAGAGTTATGATTTCTTACATTGGAAAATCTAACAGCAGTTGTAAACATTTGCCTTTTTATTCTCAAGTTGATTATAGTAGGTTGATTGACTAAAGTTTAGAGTACTAGCAAAGGCAGAATTTTCCAAATGCAATTAAAAGCATATATACTTTCACTAAAAATTTATTTATTAGGAGTGTTCTTATATCCATTAGGAGGATGCATATTTTTACAATCAACTCATATATTGTTTCTTCATAACAGTTGCACAAATTGTTGCTAATGAAATCCAACAATAACTAGCTAAAACCCTAAATTTTTTGTGCGTCATAAATTAGTCGTCGTTTACCGTTACCATAGTATTTTAACGCTGTTTTTGGCGTTCTGACGTCCTCTCTTCTCTGTTCTATCGCTATAAATATCCGACTGCATTGAAAACGGTTATACTAGAAAACTTTTTATATGTAAAGAGCGCAGAATCTTTTAATAACGAGTTAATTTTTCGCATTATGTGTTGTAAACGTTTATTAATATATACTTGTCAGTATTTCTTAGCTTTAATACTCTCTGTATTCCAAGTGCTACATTATGACTGTAACAGCATATCATAGTGAACAGACAATTAGATTCAGTAAAAGTATCAAATTGGATTAAACAATAAACTAAACTCAACTACACCTAATTTCTTGTTGTCATGCTGTTTTAGGCTCCGGTCACATATGTCCGTACGCTTGCGTACGAATACGGACGAATTACACGATTCCAGTATAATCACTAGAAATTCGTAGTTCTAGTTACTAATACAAACAGTCGCAACAGAACTCCCCTTACCCCAGCCAGCAAAGTGTAATACTAGACATTAAAACAATCCTTTTTCAATTGCAAAAACAAAACAAAACTATTAAACTTATAAGGATTTCCTCTCACTCTCAAATAACACATAACAAAACAGTAGACCAACTAGCTAAATCAGTTATCACAAAAGGCGTTAATACATTGATTCTGCTCCCACACACTGAATTTCTTGAGGATATTCAACACTCTCACATATCATCTTTTCAATCCATCGTACTAGATCAAAGCTCCTACAAAGAATCTCACTACTTTCATAATTATACTACTCATCGACTCAATCTAAACTATAGTTCCACAAAACTTACCTTCATAGAAAACATATCACCTCTATTAACAGACTTAGAAGCAACCATTATTCTCTAGCAGCTAGTCTATACAGAAAGAATTTTATAAGTTCCCCCCATGTCAATGTGGATCTCCAATACAAGACATTAACCATATTGTTTGGTCTTGCCCTACGTATATATCTCAGAGAAAAACACTAATCAAAAAACTAAACAAATATTCACAAAATCGTAAAACTTCCTCAATAACTACAACCATCAATATATTAAAACTCCTTACTCATCCCCCATGTCTCTTCTTAACCGAATTTCTCAATAAATGCAAACTCTCAATTTAAAATAAATCCTGAAACACTAAACAATAATCTTCCAATTCCCAGTCTTTTTTATAATCCTACACTGGTCACAAATCTATCTAACCAATAAAATTAAATTTATCAACCTTAACTATATAAACTACTTTTACTACTTAAATTTCAATTTCAAACTTCGAATTCGCCTTGATTAAGGAGTTTCATATGCTACATATAAATCATACAGAATTAAATAAAATTGAAGTCATTTAAATCATTATTGCATAAGAAATTAACACGATTTTTTTTATATTTATTATCGAATGATTTTTGTAAAAATTTAGTTTCAAAGTTTGGTGAATAACATGGGCTCTTATATAAGCAGTACGTTTTTTGTTGATATCTCAGTTAAAATCATACAAAATATAAAAAAACAAATTCTAATATATAGTACATTTTTTTAAAAATATTTTGGTCGAACATATAAGTAAATTATCGATAATTTCAAAAAGTTATTAATAATTATTCACGTTATTTTTTGATATCAAACAGTTGTTATTTACGCTTGGCAACGCTGCAATGCAGACATACGTAGTGTATATCAGATGATAGATATACTGTAAACATGTTTACAGTGGACTCACATATGTTCATGGCTATAACCTAAACTTTTGTGTGCTTTGGGTTGTGTATACAAAAACAATTAGAAAGTGGAAATGAAATAAATTTATTTATTCTTAGTGTGATTTGCAATAAAACAAGCATTTTTTTCGAAACAAAGCTTTTTATTATAAAAAATAATTACAAAATGTTTAAATTTTATAAACTTTGAGATGAGACTGAAAATCTAATTTGAATGAAAATGTAACATTACAAACCCGTTATTTTTATACTGGCATTATATAATAAATTAAATTCTTTGAAACCCTAAATAATAAATATTACTTTTATTTTTTTTAAATAACCTTTGGTTATGTTAAACCTTTATTTGTAAAACTGAGTTCAAGTAATCTAAAATAGTGTTCAAAATTTTTTTATTTTTAATTATTTGTGGTTTACCATCCACTTCACCTACTAATAAAGCTTTTGTGTCATCAAATCCTTTTGTTTTGAAATGTATAACTAAGTTTTCATAAGTGATACCAGCATAAGCTAATCTTTTTTGCATAGCTTTACTAATAACATCATCCATGGGCTTGAACGAAGGTATTATTTCTTTGGCGTCCTTTTCCTTTTGCATGCGTTCTGAAATATCTTTGATTGTTTTATTAGATTCTATCAAATCAAGAACACTTATAAAAGACGTGGTTAGTTGTTCTAATAAAATGACATCAACACTAGCATCATGGGCACCATTGCATGGAAGTGCCAATAATTCTTTTGCTAATGTTGTAAGTTTATACCCACTCTCTCTTTTTGGAAACTTATCTTTAAAAAGTAGCAGAGTGTCAGAAAATCCTTGTATCACATTTTCAAATTCATCTATCAAAGATAATTCTTGCATGGAGGTAATCATACGTGTGGAGTCAAAATTACAATTGTGCGCAACTAGTATACTTTTTTTCTCAAAACTTTTTAAAAAATTTAAGAGTTCACTAAAAACTACTCGTTTTGGTAAAGTTGCAACTTCATGCCCATGTAAAAATAGTTTTTTATAAACTTTACTTAGGCCATTTACGTTTGTTGCACTTGAATCAATAGATTTGGTTGGAGTAATATATGCACTGAACATTTTATTCCCACATTTTACACATGTTTGCAGTATGTCATGTTTATAACTAAAACCTCCAGTTTCTATATCAAAAAATGCAATATTGAAAGCATTAGATTTATAATTCAAATAATTGTCAGTAACTAGTTTGATACAGTCTTCCTTTCTTGCTTTTTTGTTATCCAATAAATCCATATGACTTTCATAAGTTTGTCCTTCAGCACTTTCCTTTTGATACTTTAACTGGGATCTTTTTGCTTGTCTTTGCAATCTAAGACTTTTATATGATATCTGACTTCTGCGTTCTCTTCTTTTTTGCACAAGTTTATCAGACTTGTTTATGTGTTTTTCTAATGGTTGATTCCAAGGAAGAAACATTTTTGCCATGGTGCGCTGAAGATAGCTATCTCCACAATTTTTTTGTGCTACTGAAGCAGCAAATCTAAAGTCTGCAGATTCAGAGGTGCTATAACACACACTTTTTCTAGCTTTGCTGCACATGGTATTATTTAAGCTTTCATTAGCTTGAGAGCTTGGTGCTCCAACAAACTTTGCAGCATTTTAGGAAAGTTGCAAAAAAGTTTCTTTGAGGATATCAAACAATATTGCATTTTTTAGTCTGATCCCTGTTGAATTTTCCTTTTCTCCACAACCTGAGCACCAAGAGCCACACTTGTCATGGTGATCAAACAAGTGATAAGGAATATTCAATAAATTAGCTTCAATATCTTGTACTGATTCTTTATGAGTATGAATTACATATGAAAAACATCTTTTTATATAAGTAATTACATCATTTGACAACTCCTTATCTGGATCTTTTGATTTATCATCTCTTATCTTGTACAACATACTAGCAACCCCCCTTGCAGAGTGATTAGTATCACTTTGCTTGACAATTTCATGACTCGCTTTTTCTTCAATAGCTGCAATGCTGGAACTATCATTGTCTCCAACCAAAACATCAACTTCTAAGTTAGCTTCTAGTTATTTACAATGAACACAGACTAAAGTTCGGAATTCCCGGTGACGGTGATAGCGAAGAAACAGCGATCTAGGCGGAGGTATAAGAGAGAGAAATCTCTCTCAAAAATCGGACTTGAACGAAGTTTGATGGCGTTAGAAAGAAGAATCATCGAACAGGAGAAAACGTCGTCATCTGGTTCCGCTTCGTCTCATCCACGCCTGTGCATTTGCCTTGGTCCTCGCTGCTGAGCACTCAACCAAGGAGGTGGTGCCAAAACCCACGTGGCGCGAATGGCGAGTTAGAGAAGGACACCACATCCACTCCCCCCTTTGAACCGGACGCAGGAGGCGGACGGAACGTGACCCTGCGCAAGATGTTCGATCGGTGTCGTCTCTCGTGACCATTGGCCGTGCTGTTGACAAGGCAAGGTCAAAGAGTTATAGTCGGGACCGGCGGCAGAGGGCGAGGCGTTAATTCCTCAAGCGGTGGAGTGCTGACTGATTGGGAGTGTTTTGTTCAACTGCGTTGTTGGCAGAGGGAGTGGCGATGGCGGCGGATCAGCAGTCAAAGCTGGTAGAGTCGGCTGCTTAAAGAGCGAAGAGCTCAAATAGGCTGATTTGAGAGGATCAGTGGAGACGGTCTTCTCCGTGCCGTTGACGTCAATGACAAAAAGCTTGTCGCTCACCCTGCGGATGACCCGGTGAGAACCGGTATACGGTGGCTCGAGTGGTTTTCTAACTGCGTCGACTCGCTGTAACACATGCGAGTATTCGTGCAACCTGTTAAAAACGAAGAAGCGCTGCAGTGAGTGGTCCGCAGGAGGAACAGGCGCCAGTGCTCTCAAGGTTGCCCGCAAACGACCGACGAAGGTCGACGGGTCTGGCGGTGGGCTGCTGGTTATAAAGAAGTCTTCAGGGAGGCATAGTGTTGTGTCAAAAGTCATCTTGGCCGCTGAAGCCTGGAGATCTTCTTTAAGGGTGTTGCGTAGGCCAAAGAGCACTAGTAGCAAGGCTTTCGGCCATGTCGTTTGGGAGCACATAAGTGCTGCCTTGAGGGTGCGGTGAAAACGTTCCACCATGCCGTTCGACTGCGGATGATATGGCGTGGTTCGAAATTTAGCCGCACCAGAGACTTGCAAGAGCGCCATAAAGAGGGCGGACTCAAATTGATCTGATCTGATCTCCCTGATCTGACGTGATGGTCGTCGGGCATCCTTTGTTGGCTATCCACGTGGACAGGAAAGCCTTGGCGATGGTCTCGGCCCTTATGTCTTCGAGCGATACAACCTCCGGCCATCGGGTAAAACGGTCAATCATGGTGAGGTAGTAATGGTATTTCCCCACCAAGGGCAGCGTGATGAGATCCACGTGGACGTGCTCGAACCTACCATCGGGCTCTTGGAATGAGGCGAGCTTTATGCGACTGTACCGCGATATTTTGGCACGCTGGCATTGCAGACAGCTATGAGCCTAGTGACCGGCGTCTCGGCGGATGCCGGACCAATCGAAGCGTTCCAAAATGGCGTGCATAGTTGCGCGAATTCCTGGATGGCTCAGGATGTGCACCGCGTCGAAGGCTGCCTTTCTGAGCGATTGCGGCAGAAAAGGTCGAACTCGTCTCTCATGAACATTACAGAGTAGCTCACAACCATCAACCTGGAGTTGTTGGAGTTTTAAAGAATTGCCGTCACCTAGCCGCGAGGGCTACTCATCGCAGGACTAGGCATCGGCAATGGCTTTCGGGCTTAAAGCGGAGGGCATGTCGACAGTGGCGCAGTTAACGTTTTTTACCTCAGACGAGGATGGAACAAGAGGCTTGATCGATGCGTCGAGAGTGTCAGCATCCTCCAGCGTGCGGGAGAGAGCATCAGCTACAATATTGTCGGCTCTACTTACATGTTGGAAGCGAAGATCGAATTGCAGCAGAAAGTCCAGTTGGCGCTGCTGACGAGGAGAGGCCTTTTCGGACGGCTGACTGGCCGCAAAGGTCAAAGGTCGGTGATCTGTTAGCACCGTAAAAGGTCGCCTTTCGACAATGCGACGGCAGTGCTGTACAGCTCGGACAACGGCGAGAAGCTCGTCTCGTAGGTACTCTAACGGGTCTCCTGCGGGGTTAGCTTCTGGGAAAAGAAACCAATAGGCTGCCATTTCCCTTGAGCGCTTTGCTCCAGCACGGCTCCAACTGCGGAGCTTGAAGCATTAGTGGCCAGGCGGAGTGGCGTGATTGGTGAGAGGAAGGCAGTCTCAACAGCCTGAGCTAAGCTGCGCCAGGCTTCTTCGAACGCCAGGTCAGCTTTGACGCTCCAGACTAGCGGCCGGCGATTTCCTTGTGGCAGGCCTCGTAGAAGCTCGTTAAGCGGAGCTTGAATGTGGGCGGCATGTGGTAAACTTCGCCGATAGAAGTTGATGACACCTAAGAAGCGGCGCAACGCCTTAGGTGATGAGGGCTTGGTGTATTCCCGGATGGCATCAACCTTCCTCGCGGGAGGTTTGATGCCAGTAGTGGAGACCTCGTAGCCCAGGATAGTGACACTTGGAAGACCCACCTGGCACTTAGCCAACTTGTAGGAGAAACCAGCTTCCTTTGAGATGACTTTGAGATGACGCTCAAAGAGTAGGCAGAGATGATGCAGATGTTCCTTATACGAGACAGAGCGAACAAATACGTCATCGAGATAGACCCGAAAAAATGGCAAATCTCGTAATAGTGAGTCTATGAACCGCTGGAATGTCTGTGAAGCATTTCTTATACCATTATAAAATAATCCAAGCGGCGTCGTGATCGCCGTTTTGGGGATGTCCTCCTCAGCCATAGGTACTTGGAAGTAGGCTTCCTGTAAGTCTACGACCGTGAAAACAGAGCATCCGTCACAATCCTCGAGGAGGTCCTGAATGACAGGTAATGGGTATCTATCCGGAAGAGTAATGGAGTTGAGGCGGCGGAAATCGCCCGTAACTCGGAATCCTTCAGTGGCCTTGGCTACTAAATGTAGCGGGCTCGCCTATGGACTCGACGAGGGACGAATAATTCGCTGTCGCAGCAGGACATCGATCGTCTCCTTGGCTGCCGTCAGGCGTTCACCCGTCAAGCATCGTGAGAGTTCGTAGACCGGGGGGCCGGAGGTAACGATGCGATGCACCACGGTTATGCCTTGTAGGGTTGCACCCTTCTCGAAGGGCTCCGCAAGGCCAGCGTATTCGGCTAGCAGGCCATCGAACGCAATTCAATACAGGAGATCAGTTGGGTTTGCGATTGATGCAATGCCATGGATGATGGCTTTCTGTAGCTGGGCCGAGGATTGTTGGGATGAGTTGGGATCGCAGAGACGTCGGCGACGCAAATTCACCAACAGGCCGGTGTGCTCGAGAAAGTCTGCTCCCAGAATGGGCACCGGCACATCAGCAACCATGAATGGCCATCGCAACTCCTGTCGCATGCCTAGCGTGACAGTGAGCAGTCGTCTACTGTAGGTGGCGATTGGGGACCCATTGGCCGAGACTAGTCGCAGATCATCGCGGGCCAATATACCGGCAACTAGACGCCGAGGAAGTAGGGTCATGACCAACCCAGAGTCTACCAACATGGAACAGCCGAGCGAGCTCTCGTATATATGCAGACGAGCATCAGCGGACAGTGAAGAAGCGCTGCCGTGTACCGCCGACATGTACGGCAGCGTAGTTTGACGAATGGTTGGCTGGGTAGCTGCATGGGGTCCGGTAACGCTCAGCATTATCTAAGAACCGCTGGTGGTAGAAACACCAACGAGGATATGCAGATGAACCGCTGCTATCGGGAGCCCTTAGCTCTACCGAGCGGGGGCGAGACCTGGACCTCGACCACCAGCCGGTGTGAGGCGCTCCAAGATGCGGCTGGTTGATATAACCGACTGCGAGACGGCAGCACGCAATGCCGCAAGTTCGGCGGCCACATTGTTCAGCTGCGAGTGTGAGGTTGATGCGGTGTTCGAGCTCACCGCTGGGTGCTGTACAGTACAGATTTCAGAAGCCGTTTCTGCCAACTCGTCGGCCGTCTGGGCAAGCTCATCGAAAGTAGCTGTGCGTAAAAGGTGTAGAATCTTGGAAGTGCCAACCAGAAGGAGATCGAGTCAGCGTACTCGAATAGCATCATCACCGACGCTGCCTCCAGCGAGGCTGCGCATGCGGCGCAACAGCTGCGAGGGTGTACGATCCTCCATCGTAAGGCCCGAAAAGAGCTTGTGCAGGCGCTGGGTTGCCGTGTCACCATACCGACGAATAACCTGCTCTTTGAGGTTAGGGTACTTGCCGGTAGCCGGCGGATTTTGAAGGACATCCAGGAGGTCCCGGACGGTGTCACTATCCGGTCCAGCCACAGCGGCATGATAGCGCTGCAGGTCGGAGTTGAGTTGGTGGCACGCGAACACGGACTCCAGTTGCAGGAACCACACCTCAGGACTATGTTTAAGAAATGGTGGCATGTACACTGTCACGTGGCGCACAACCTTGACACTAGCTGAGCACTTAGCTGAATCGTCCGGCTCACTCTGACCTTGAAC